GGTTTACTGAAGATGAAATTCGCGTTGCTATCTGGTCATGTGGTAGTGATAAGGCTCCTGGTCCCGATGGTTTTTCTTTCCGTTTTATAAAAAAGTTTTGGGATCTCATGAAGACAGATATCTGTAATTTTGTTGATGAATTCTTTGACTCGAGCATGATCCCAAATGGATGCAACTCATCTTTTCTCACTTTAATCCCAAAAAGAGATAGTCATTTGAACTGCAATGATTATAGACCGATCAATTTAATTGGTGTGCAATACAAAATTATTGCAAATCTTCTTGCAAATAGATTGACACTGGTGATTGATGATCTTGTGAATCTTGTGCAGTCTGCTTTTGTTAAAGGCAGACAAATCCTTGATGGTCCATTGATGGTGAACGAGATTATTCAGTGGTATAAAAGAAAAAAGAAGAACTTAATGATCCTTAAAGTGGATTTTGATAAGGCATATGACTCAGTGAGTTGGGAGTATTTATATCAAATTATGTCTTTCATGGGGTTTGATCATAAATGGATTCAATGGATTAAAGCTTGTTTGGTGTCGTCTCGTACTACAATTCTTATAAATGGAAGCCCCACAAAGGAGTTCTCTCCTCAGAGAGGCCTTCGTCAAGGTGACCCTTTATCCCCCTTCCTTTTTATTCTCGTCATGAAAGGTCTGCATGTAGCGATAGAGGATGTAACACTAGTCAAAATAGGTCAATAAACAATCACATGTGATTATGCCAATCATGTAATGTGATTTTGTTAAACTAGTAATGTGATAAGAGTGCTATGTAGTTCATGATAAATTCTAATACAAATATGAATTTCTTTATGATACAACTCAAAGTATACATCAATACGATTCCAAAAATATAGAGAACGTCTAAATCTGACTTCGCGTGAAGAAGTTATGATAAACCGAACACTATAAATCTCTATAATAAGTGGAATTAAAAATAGACTTATAATTAGCTATTTGAGTCTAAAAAGAGAGTTGTAGTACTCGTGAATACCTACGCGTAGTTATAAAGAACGTCAAAAACGGAGTTCGCATGTGAAAGTTACGACCTTCCGAAGATTCAACTGTCAGAAACCCTAATTTGACTGAACTCACGACGTGAGCACAGAAACTCACGACGTGAGGAGTCATTTTGCCACATTTCAGATCTAGAAGGTGCGTGACGAGGCTACGAAGTGATAAGATCCAAACTCACGGCGTGAACATTGATATTTCACGACGTGAGGAGTCATATGGCCACCTTTGGAAGCTAGAAGACGGATGACAAGTCTACGAAGAGATAAGTTCCAAACTCACGACGTGAACAAGGAGTTTCTCACGTCGTGAGGACCAAAAATCTTACTATAAATAGCAAGTTCGACCCCAGCCATTCTTACACCTGAACTTCTTTCCTTTCTCTCATTTGTTGAAGCCCTCTTGCATCCCGAGCCCCGACGACCTCGTACCGCTGACCGTTTCTGCTTAGATTACATAAAATCACGCTATTAAGGTGAGTTTCACGGCCCCACTTTCTAATATTTCGGGGAAAACGCATGCTAAATATTATATATACGTTATTATTATGTCTATATGATAGTATATTAGTATCAACGTAGATAGTTATAATAACCGGGATATAGTTATTTCGTATCTGAAAGTATACAACTATCGTAAAGTTGTTAGCATGTTATTGTTATAGTAGTATACTAATGTAGATCTTGAGTTATACTTAGGATTCTATATATATGTTGTGTGCGATATAGTTCCGAAGTTATATTTGGAAGTTCTATATGTTAATTTATAAAGTATGTTGTTATTGTTAGTTTTATGACAAGATAAAACTTGGTATGTTATATGTTGTTGTAGTTATTGGTTTTATGTCAAGATAAAACCTGGTTTTACTTCAAGTTATAGCTGTTATACTGCCTAAATGTTATGAAGTTAGGAGTACTGTTTAAAAGCATAGTCTAGTAACTTAGGGTTTTAGACATGAAAATGCTTTTGTTGTTAGGACTATAGAACGCCGTCAAAGTCTACATGAGCTACCTCATTCATCAACTAAGATTGGGGATCTTAGTGGAAGTCTCTTGACCTGTAACCGTTAATCCCGTGTGAGCGAGGAAGTCGTGTATGAATAAGATACGGGTTGACGACCCCACTCGTGGTTGTTAATTACAACCAAGACAAGCGAGTGACGATCCGTTCCTTTTATTTGTTATTGTTCCGGCGTCGATGAAGCGCGCGGTATTGTTTCTCATGGTAAATCATGAGTGTATTGTTTCTCATGGTAAATCATGAGTGTGTTTTGTCAGAGGTTTTATTGTCAAGCAGCGGTTACAGACTCATGGTAGCAACTTGTTAGAAACATTATACTTTGTGGTATACAAGTATTAATGTTAAGTATAAGTTTCCCCCTACTTATACCCTAGGTACTACTTGTATATTAAGTAGATAATTATACCTAACACACATACTCGTATAGAATTGAAATAGATTTATACGTAGCGGTTTTACTCGTATAGAATTGAAATAAGATTTATGCGTAGCAACTTAGTTTGTATGGAATTACAAACATTTATATTTTTAATATATAAGACTTATAGGTATATACTTATTTGGTAAGTAAACCATTATACCTAGGATATATATATATATATATATATATATATATATATATATATATTAATTGTTTGAGAGTCAAAAAGATACTTTCAAAACTAAACTTCTGAACTTGGAAAATGTGTTATTTTTATATGGAGTCAAAACCTGTGAACTCACCATCTTTATGTTGATGTATTTTAAATTGCATGTGTTTTCAGGAAGTTGATAACTATGATACGAGAAATGACGTTACACCGCCCGGTGTTTCCGCCGACGGCCGGGGTGTGACAGAGGATGTTGTGAACCAAGGTGTTTTTCGGGGAGCATTGATTGGAAACGGAGGTTTTGTTGGGTCTCGTCTTTTCTATGCTGATGACGCATTGTTCTTGGGAGAGTGGGATGAACAAAATATTGCAAATCTGGTTACTATTCTCAATTGTTTTTATTTGGTGTCAGGTCTTAAATTGAATCCAAAAATCTAACCTTCTTGGTATTGGTGTTTCTTTTCAACAAGTGGAAGAGATGACTGTTATCACCGGATGTGCACCTGCAAGTCTACCCTTTTCTTACCTTGGGTTACCAGTAGGTGCAAACATGAATCGTGTTGATAATTGGAATAAGGTCATTCAAAAATTTGATAAGTGTTTGTCAAGTTGGAAGGTGAACTTGATTTCTGTGGGTGGTAGACTTACATTAATAAAGTCTATCCTTAATAGCATTGGGATTTATTACATGTCTGTATTTAAAATACCGGATATTGTGAATTCTTATCTTGAGTCTTTATGTTCTCGATTTTTTTGGGGTGGTGGTAGTATGGAGAGAAAGATCTATTGGGTTAAATGGAACCAAGTGTTAAATTCTAAGGATAAAGGTGGACTGGATATCGGCAGTTTAAAAGCTTTTAATTTGGCTTTGCTTTTAAAGTGGAGATGACGTTTCTACAATGAAAACCACGCACTTTGGGTTAAGGTGATCCATAACATTCATGGAATGCATGGTGGGTTGGGTGAGTCTTCTTCAAAACCAAGAGGAGGGGGGTTTGGTCTAATCTCGTGAAGCTTTATGATAAGCTCGATTCTCTTAATATTATTCCACACTTTTTTTATTAGAAAAGTTGGTAATGGAATAAATACTCGTTTTTGGAAGGACATTTGGATTGATAATGTGAGGCTTTCTTCTCATTTTCCTAGACTTTTTGCATTGGAAGAGGAGAAAGATTGTTCGGTGGCAGATAGATGGAATGCAAGTGGTTGGCTTTGGAGATGGAGTCGTCAATTACGTGATAGTGGAAGCACGACCTCTCAGTTCTCGGCCTTGACCAGAGTTCTTTCTCATGTTACGTGCGTCGATCAGGCAGATAGTTGGGAGTGGGGTGTTGATCCAGATGAAGGCTTTACTGTTAATAACACTAGAAAATATATTGATTCGATTTTGTTGCAGGAAGGCATGATTCAGACGAGATGGTGTAGGCTAGTGTCTATCAAATAATATTCATCTTTGGAGAACTATTCTTGATAGACTTCCCACTCGTTATAATTTGGCTTGCAGGGGTGTTGACATGATCTCGATGCTTTGTCCTTTATGCTCTACTCAGATAGAAGTCTGTAGTCATGTGTTTGTCAATTGTGACGTGGCAAAGGAAATTTGGAATAAAGTGTTTAAGTGGCTTGATCTCCCTTTTCCTTTGTTTGCAAATGTTGCTGAGATATTGGATTGGATGGATGTCATTCCTTCAAGTCTGTCAAAAAAACGAAAGCTTGAAGTTATTATCAATATCACGATCTGGGTTATTTGGGCTTACAGGAATAGTGAGGTGTTCAAGACGTACAACATGCGGAAAAATCATATTTTTGAAATCATTGTCATTCATTTTTTTAATTGGTTCTCTAGTAGAATAGTAAAAGTAATATATCTTGGACCAGTGGTTGCGAAATCCCCTTTTATATGACTCTTTGTAATTTGTTTTTGTTCACTAGCTTTTGCTAGTTTTCTTTTTATAATATGTGGTTGTTCAAAAAAAAAAAAAAAAAACTAGTCAACCACAAAGACCATTACATCAATAAAATCTAAACTAGAGGACTCGAGTAAAAAAGAAAAAAGAGATGGATGAAGGGGGATGCAATTCTTAGACAACCACAACCATTTTGTAATCGAGTCTATTTCAAATGCTAATATAACCAAGTACAATATAGATTTAAAATCACTCCAATTCCAAAGATTACTTCAATTTGGTCTAAAAAATTTATTGATTTTGTTGTTGGAAAGAAAAAAATGACTCAAAATTCAATTAATGATCAAATGTTACTATAAAATTGTATGTAAAACTAGAAGTTGATTTCTAAAGAGGAAAGACCAGTGAAATCGTATGCTTTAATGAACGTAACACTATTTATTAACTTATAAACCATATATTCACATTTTCCGATCATTATTATATTAATATATAATTTTCCAAAACAAAAACCGATATATTTGTTATAAACATAGTAACAAGAAAACTATATAGAACTCAAGCACGCTTCTTGGCCCGACCACTAGAACTAGCCATGTCTTCTCTCTTCGGACCAGACTCCCCGGGCTTCTTTGCCCAGGCTGGAGTCTGGTCCGGAGCATAATGATAGTCATAAAACACCTCTTCCCCGGCCCATATTTTTTCCTTAGCAAATATACCCACCCTATGATCTCCATCCACCATAATTACCTAAAAAGACCAAAAAGATTAAATTACATTTTTGGTCCTCAAGTTTGTCCAAAATTGGTCCCTATAGGCACCAAAACTGAATTTTTTGGACAAACACAAGGACCAAAAATGTAACTTATTTATATACCTTTGCGTAACAATTTGGATTTGGAGAATGATTGGCAAACTTCAATTTGTCACCCTTACGGAAAGCATCAAGAACATACTACATACACGACATAATTTTTTATTTTGTTAAAAGAAGTGTTAATGTATGAAGTAGCTAAAAAAACAAATAATGTATCTTACTTGATCATTAAGGTTGAAGAGAAACGAAGAATTTTCACGATCATATATTTTTCCACGTTTGTCAGCTTCATGATGTGAGATTAATTCTCCCGTGTATTCACCCAAATATTCATGTTTAGCTACACTATTCTATAAGTGGAACTAAATATGAGTAAAATTTCATATGCAGAATAGAATAATGAGAGAAGGACAATATGGTAATTTCACCTACCCTTAAGAAAGCACCCCAGCCCGACACGTCTGATCTTCCTAGCAAAACCTGTGTTGCATCAAATAAAAATGAACTTAATTCTTTTAATTTTCATAAAATTATGTAAAGTTGAAGACCAATTTACGGTTTTACCCTTTGTTGTTGTTTGAGTAGAAGCTTCATGTTCCTGCATTCGTAATTATCACCTTTTTTGCTAGGGGTGCCAAGACTTCCATCACCACAACTACAAATTTTTCAATTAGAAAACTCCAATAAACTTTGTATATACATTTTTTACTCATAAGAGCAATATGTAACCCATAATAGCAATATACTTATATTTATCTACACATAAATAGCAACACACTTACAACTCCATATTTGTAATTTTCTTTTACTGATAATAGCAATATTCAACAAAGAAAATATGTTGCTATTTAAAGAAGAAACAAAAAAAATTTACTAACTTTATTAGGCTAAATTTTTGGCAAATTATCTCACCTGATCCAGCAATGTCGGCATACATCTGGATCACATTCTCTATTAGCAGCAAAACACGGGCACTGACGACTTCTACATTGGTTTTTCGCACAATGGCATCCCCGAAAACGATTTTTGCAAGTTTTCGGGCAACTAATATAAAAAATAAAAATAAAAAAACTGTTAAACAAACCAAGAAAAATAAACAAAAGAGTATTATACATTTTCTTGGAATAGAAACCAAAAGCATTACAAAAACCTCGAATAAGGACGAAAATTGCAAGAGAAAACTTATCGGAACCAAAACTGCAAAGTCAACTATATTCAGGGACCAAAAGTGTAATTTTACTTTATAAGAGGCTTACCCGCAGTATTTTTCACAAGTGGTCTCATTTGCAAGGCAAGAACAGTTGTTGCCACATGTAGATTGACACCCGCATGGATTATACTGACGACATGGCAAATCTTGTTTATCTGAAATACGTTTCCTCATTGAATGGGTCCCACCTGACTTCCACGTGTACTTGAAACGCCGGATTCTACCTCTTCTACGTAACAATCTTGATCTTTTTATCTGTGTGAATAATTAATTAACCGAAAAAACAAATATAATATTGAAAAAATAAAAAACTAAAGATAGGTTATACTGACCATATTGTTATTACTTTCAACCTTGCAGCTGTCACTTTGAGAATTTGTGATATTGTTCACTTGAGAAGATAAGTTATTGTTGTAACACTTGAGGACATTAAAAACCTCTGTACATGTCTTTAGGCCACACAAAAGATTCCTAGCTATCAGACAGCTGTAATAATAACAGATCATGAATTACAAAATCAGAGAGTGAGAAAATATATATTTTGATGGGAAATAATGAGAACAGAGTATTATATTACCTGTTTCTACCAAAAATCTCCAGACCCTTTTCAAAAAGAGATTTTTCAATAGTTCGCCAGTATTTATAATCTTGATGTGAATTAGATGGAAAATCTGTATCTTTTGACCCATGATTGGGGGTACTTTTGACCTTGAGATAACAATGTGGGCCACATGGGACATTTTCGTCATCTTTAATGTTCCATGTACAATTCTTTTCAGCCTAGTTAGAATATTTGAAGTTAACATAATTAGTCATGGGATTCATGTGAATATGTCTGAATAAACAAAGGTTTTAACTTACAGGAAATATAAGCTCCTGTGAGCATCCATGTAATTTACAGTCAAAATATCTGTTGATACAAAGATAAATGAATCACATGTTACAATAACTATAACACCAAAACCAAGAACATAAATCAAATCATAACAAAGCTTACAAGGCATCTGCGACAAAATAGGTTGTCTAATGAATCCTGAGCTGCTTCAAGATCTTTATCAAGAAATGAATTCAAATTGAAGTCTGTATCCTCATATTTAGAGCTTTCTCTCACATTCTCTCTACTAACAAGAGCTTCATATCTTGCCTGTATAAGATATTTGATGATATTTCACTCTCTTAAAGATATGGAAACAAAAAACGAAATAGAAGAAAAGAGCAAAGATGATATAAAGAGAAAAAATATCAGGGGTAAGAATGTCATTTCCAGTAAGTGCTTGCCTTCACTTTGCAGGGTTTTCTAGACAAACGTTGAGCCAGTAACTCCAAGACAGTATCAGATGATCCAAGTTGTTCGATAGTCATTCTGGAAAATGAAAAATTAAATCATGTGAAAGTTGAAAAAATAAGAATATGTAACAAGTGAAACACAAAAACACATAAATTTAAGATATACAAACCGGATGATGTTATCTTCAGATTCAACAAACTCTTTCTTGTCCTCTTCATCATCAATAACTTCTTCCTCACTGTCACTGCAGATTAAAGCTTCACCTCCATTTCTGTCATAATAAATTCTCCTTCTACCCACTACAGATTGATCTTCTGTCATTCTTCTATTTCTGCATTTGCATTCAATAAATTAAATACAATAATTCAATAAACAATATTCACTTAGAATATTTCTGCAACACACCTATCCATGAAAACCCATGTGGTATATGGAGGAAGTTTCTCCATTTCTGGAAGATTGATGGGCCTAACAGAATTCTTGACTGGAATCCCGGATCCAAGGAGAACAACAGAAACATGTTCATCTTCTTCAGAGCTGATGTCAACACCATCTTGCATATCAATTGCATCTTTCTGTCTCTTTTCCAATAAATTGATGATGTTATCTCCATTTATAATCCTAAGGTTTCTTCTTTCTACAGACAACTTGTGATGATTTTTAGTAATTTCAGCCAGTTTAATCCGGTTCTCTTTCATTCTTTTCTGCAAGAGTTACAATAAGGAACCATGAGATCAAGTTTTTTTTTACTGAAATAGGAAGGTGTGTTGTGACAGTATAGTTGGTGTAAGAGTTTACCATGATATAAACACAACGATCAGCATCAACTTTCTTCTTCACCGAGTCAATAACCTTTGAAATTTGTGAAAGAGTTGATGTTGCTTCTTGCAGTTTTGCATTCTGTTCAATATAAATACAATTCACTTTACAATATAGAATTCGTGATGTCACAACCTTCTTGTTCTTTCTTTCTATTATTTATTAATATATCATAAGATATGATGGTTGATATGATGAACAAGGAAATCGAAATCACTGACTTATTCAAATTCAGTTACCTTGTTTGATTCATTCTTAATACTTTACTTACCTTGGCTTAAATTGTTTATATCTGTGTTAAATTATGAATATTACAGCAATGAATACTCACTTCTATATGGAAACAAGATTAATATAGATGTTTTCGATTAAGTGTTATCATATTATGTATTAAGATTTCCAAGCTCTCTGATTTCCTAACCTTCTACGTGTTATATGAAGGTACGTAAAATAGAACTGTGTGTAGACATATTCACTGTACTACACTTGATATTTAGAGTAACATATACCTAAGTCACTTTACAAATAAGACTACCCCATCAAGCCCAGTACTAGTAACTCTTTGTAAATGTAACCCGGATCCTTACCATTAATAAGCCATGGATCGATACTTCTCCTTGTTCATAGTTAGTTTGCCTTTTACCGTTTTTTGTCCTTCAAAGATACAGGTGTCCTAGGTTTTGGAGTCTTCCCAATGAGAAACCAGAGGACCACAGTAAGTTGACATGAAATGTCTACAACTCTAAAACTTATTATTCATCTACAAAACCTTTCACAATGCTTCTAACTTTGGAAATCCCAAATTTCATTCAATTTCAAAGTTTGAACTGCAAGCTAGTATCCACTACTCATGAAACTAGTCAGTACATTAATCAGGGCTTAAAACACAATTCATGCCATGTTAGCTTTAACAACAACTCACTATCTCACTGAACTTCGTCCTCAGTATGTATGGTGGCATCACCCTGAAACTTACATGCATTTACGCTATCTAATATATGCATCAAAACTAAGGCGTTCTATCACTGCACATTAAAATTCTCTAAAAAGTCCAATGGAACAGTACCTTATCGAAACCATTAAATCATAAACTAAAATGTGCGTACACTCTTATTAGTAATCCTCCAAGGTACAAACTCACGTATCAATCATAACAACATTACTAATGAAACGGATAGAAATACACCGATCAATGCATAAACAGACAAAGAAACATGAAAACATACTATTTTTTTTTTAACTTTAACAAGTCAAATACGCATTTGGATATTTTAATAAACAAAAACTTTGAACTAGTTAATCAACAACTTTATACCGTGGAATCATCCGGAGACTCCGATCTGCCGGCAGTGGTGGAGGGGAGAGAATGGACCTTTGGTGACTGCATTTCCATTGGCAATGTCTGATAGCCGGAGAGGAGCTCCAATCTGCAACGAATTGCAGAAAGGATATCGAATTCATTCAAATGCGCAAGAGAATGAAGATAAATCGGTGCCTCGGGCTTAAAACCCTAGGTTGAGAATTGGGCGCAGTGCTGCTCTGGGCCTCTCGCTGACGAAAATTTATAGGAGAGATTGTCAACGGCCAAGTGTGTTTGCTTGCGTGGATTTCAGTGTGAGTTGGATTTAGAAAAGGTAAAAAAGTGACGGGACAACGACACGTGGATCTGATGACGTACCTTTTCTATAGCCACTTGTCAGAATTGAAAGCGCATTTTCTCAAAAAAGTTTGAAGTATCTTTATAATATGCCTATACTTATCCCTATCATAAGTTGTTATTTTATTAAGATGGCTGGTTGTCACCATTACTCACATCATAATATCTATCTTTTATATTTAGGGGTGTTTGGTTAAGCTTATTTGTGGCTTATTTTTCGAGCTTATTTTTTATAAACTTATTTTTTTTAACTTATTTTTCAACTTCTGAGCTTATTATGACTTACACTAAAAAAATAAGTTGAACTCATGAAAAAACGAGCTTATAAAAAATAAGCTTAGCCAAACACCCCCTTAATTTCAGAAAAAACGAGCTTATAAAAAATAAGCTCGGAAAAATAAGTCATAAATAAGCTTAGCCAAACACCCCCTTAATTTCAAAAGAGTGGTCATTCTTAGACCATGTTATTGGATTGAGACAAAATTTTATGTTTGGTCCTAAGGTTTTATTGCATCCTCATGTCAAATATAAAGATTGTATTTGTTGCAACATTGGGCCCTATTCCAAACTAAATTAGCAGGTTTGGTTTCCTTGTCTTCACTTTCACTTTTTTATCCTATGTCCTTTAAGACCTATCATGTATCATGCATTTTTTTAAAGGCATTTTGGTTTTTTCACACACACATTCATCGACTGACATTTCTCTTTCTCTCTCTCTTTCTCTCTCTCTCTCTCTCTCTCTCTCTTGCACATGAAATTCTTTGAATTAATCATACAAACTACAAAGAACTCTGATGGTGTTCGATGTGCTATTTTTACTACCAGTTTTAAATTTATAAAAAATTATCAGATCTCAACAGTTAAATATACAAATAGATGGTGTACGTAGTCACGAGATAATATAGTTAAGGTAAGAAAAGGTGTCGAACACTATGGAAACGGGTATGATTTCAATGAAAAATTATTGCTACTTATTAAACTAAGAAAATACTATAAATTAAGGGGGAGGGGGGGGGGGGTTCTGATTTTACAAGTTCAGAAAACTTAAATCATCAACTAAAAACAATTTAACTAACAATGATTACTTTAACTAAAACAAGCAAAACAGATAACGATTTCAATCAAGATTAAAGAGTACTTCCGTTTAGCTTCAAATCACCTCTTCCCTATGATTGATTTCTTCAATGCAATGGACAATTTAGTTGGTTACCGAATTCTAATGTTACTAGTTATCTTGTTATGATTTTCTAACGTTTAACAATTTATGAACGACTATTACAATGATCATGTAACAAGTAAACACTTAATTGATTTTATATATTCGGACTATGAATGATATAATCTAATGATTTCTTATCTAAGATCAAAACAATCAATCAAGCATATAACATGAATATCTAATGCTCTCTACCACAATTAAAGTTACTAATTAATATTACCTAACCCTATGATTTGTTCAATCTCTAGATCTAACAATTTAATGATCATAAATAGTTAAATATCAAATTAATGCAATCGGATTGAACATCTAACCGCACATAACTCATAGACAGGAGATAAAAATTAGAACTTTAACATGTTAGGCAGTCAATATATCAAACAAAAGTAAAAACCAAGCTAAATAATCCACTAATATCAAAATCAACACATAGTATAAATGATCATCTATGCTAAACGAAAATATAGGGTTTTTAGCCCATAACTAGAACTAGAAAAACAATCAAAAACGAAGTAAACTTTGAAAAGCGTGATTGAAACAAAGAAAACCGAATGATTAATCGTGATTATGCTCTCGATCTCTTCGAATCTTATTCTCCAATGGATCTCTGGCCTCCTTAGGGTTTCTAGGGAGTTTTTGGTCGTCTTTAGCCGCAAAAATTCACAGCTCTCCTCAAAATATGACCTAATAGTCGTATTTATAAGGTTGCCAAAATTATGTCACCACATCGGGGTAGATATTTCACCACGTCTTGGCGTTGTTTCCTATATGTTCCCTCCATGCTTTCTATGCAGTGCATCAAGGAATCTTCTATGACTTGACACATCACCACGCCGTAACAATGGTATGACCAAACTTGGCAAACACTTTTTGCATGATTTCCCTTCTTTGATGGTTGCTTCCAGTCCTTAGCCTCTAATTTAGCATTTTAGCTCCCTTTTCCTCGAGAATATCTTTGACGCTACAAAAACAAAATATAAACAAATTAATGATCATTTATCGCAAATAATGACTAAATGTAGCTAAAAATAAAAATATATGACTAAATATTGCGATATCAGTGTTATAGGGTTTTATGAAGGGTAAATAGCATAAAAACACTCCGTTTACACCAAAATTCTAATTTGACACCGTGTTTTTTTTGTCTCAAATTTGACACTGTGTTTTCCAATTTGTTACAATTCTGACCACTTGACCGGTTAACCAGGTTACATGCTGACGTGGCATGATGACGTGACAGTTTTGATGATGTGGCATGCTGACATGATATGCTGACGTGTCAAAATTGATTTTTTTTTCCACAAAAAACACTAAGTTTTCATTTTTTTCGATTTTGACACTAAGTTTAATTTTTTCTTTCAATTTTGACACTATGTTTTTTTGTTCCAAAGCGAACATCATATATCAATTTTTGTTCAATTTTGACCATTTTCCATTTCAATTAAAAACCATAGTTTTGTATAAATACAAGTTTTTTTTTTTACATTCAAACCATAATTTTATGTATAAATATGTATTATTTATATAAAAACCGTATTTTATATTAAATACGCAACTGTAAAATGAGTTTGTAGGTTTGGAGGCGTGTAGTCGATTAAAACTCGGATGTCAAGTTTGCAACCCCTGAAATTTTCACATCTTATTAGAAGCTTATGGTTAGCTTGATTCTCATGATATAACTAATGCAAATTTATACATTATACTTTGAATGAAAAAAAAAACACCTTGTATTTAAATAAATATGTGGTTTTTAAACAAAAAAAATATATTTATACGGTTTAAAATGTAATAAAAAAATATATTTATACGGTTTCAAATGGAAAATGGTCAAAATTGAACAAAATTGGAAAAAATGATGTTCGATTTGGAACAAAAAAACATAGTGTCAAAATTGAAAGAAAAAATTAAACTTAGTGTCAAAATCGAAAAAAAGTGAAAACTTAGTGTTTTTTGTGGAAAAAAGTTCAATTTTGACACGTCAGCATATCATGTCAGCATGCCACATCATCAAAACTGACACGTCATCATGCCACGTCAGCATGTAACCTGGTTAACCGGTCAAGTGGTCAGAATTGTAACAAATTGGAAAACACAGTGTCAAATTTGAGACAAAAAAAAACACGGTGTCAAATTAGAATTTTGGTGTAAACGGAGTGTTTTTTATGCTATTTACTCTTTTATGAATTACCATGTTTCTACCACCACTTAAAAGTGACATGACAAGTTAAACTTGGTAAAGATTGTTTGTGTATTATCATAATGTTGATTACATCATATATATATATATATATATATATATATATATATATATATATATATATAATATATATATATAGGGTATATAATTACACTTTCTACCCTCCTAATATTATATTATACAATATCTAATATTCCCCCGCAAGCTAAGGCTGGGTAACGAGCTAAAGCTTGGACCGTAATTCAGTGAATCGTTGAGACGGTAACGGCTTGGTAAAAATGTCTGCAATCTAATCATGTGTAGAAATAAACTGCAAACTAAGTTTTCCATCAACAACCTTTTCTCTAACAAAATGAAAATCAACTCCAGCATGTTTTGTGCGAGCATGGAAGACAGGATTCACCGATATGTATATATGTAACGTCCCAAAAATGGTAGTAAAGTTTTCATTTTTAAGTCATTAAATACATACAAACATTTGTTCCAAAACCAATCAGAGTAAAATGTATCTTTTTAAACATAAGAGTAAACATTAGTAATCAGTGCAGAAAAGCCAACAATAGATGTTGTGCAGTCAAGCCGCGGGCCCTTCCCTCGGGACTGAAAGTACCTGAAAATGTTTAAACCACAAGTCGTAAGCACAAAGTTTAGTGAGTTCCCCAAAATACCACATATCATACATGTATTGTCATGGGCTACCCCCATGGTCTTCCCCTGAAATGTCATGGGCTGTTGATGGGTGTCGAATTCATCAAACAAATAAATCCTATTCGCACTCATATGATTTAAAAATAATAGTAATAGTGGCAAACAAGGTCGATCCTCAGAGACTCGGTTTTAATCCATAAATACACCAAAATAGTCATGTTTTTATTCATATTGCATAAAAAGTAAATACGGAGGAGGATTTTGAAAACGAATAAAACTAAATTGAAATATGGTAAAAGGAATACTAGAAATAAAAATAAAAACGATCCGGTTTCGAGTTCTGTTTTCCTAATGATGCAAGCTAATAATGATTGATGTCAAATTGAATTCTAATCTAAGTTGGTACTTGGAAACATTAACGAGCTCTAACACTTCCTATTCACCAAATTGTTTAACCAAAACAAGCTCTTTGAATTAAACATAACCCTTCTAATCTAATCTAAACAAGCTCTTAGAATTAAACTGAAAATTGCATTAAGTTTTGTGTGAATGTTCCCAACAACATCCAATACTCCTCACAAGCTCGGGAGCGTAAGAATGTGTGATTTTGGTTTACATTAAAAATCGTTCAGTGGAAATCAAATTAATGTTTGTTACTTGTTTTAATTCACAAAACAATTACGGATTTTGTAAATCAAATAACTTGAATGATCTAATCCTAATTCAAGTGGCCAACATGAATCAAAATTAAAATCAAACTTTTTAATTAACACAAAACCAAATTCACCGGATAGAATACAAATTCAACATCAAATCATATGATCAACTACATAAAAATGAAATTCAAACTAC